CTTTCCTCATTCTCTTCCGCTTTCCTCTGTACCTCCAACTCTTTCCTTTCTGGACCCCCTCACAACGGCTGCGGTCCCAAGTTTAAGGCAAACAGAACCGACGATAGGACAAACTCGTCCCACCTTACTCCTTTCTCCTCCCTTCAATCCCTCACCCTCTTCATTCGGTTCTCAGTCGCCTTGTCCAGCTTGGGCTCGACCGATTTGGTGGGCACCTTCCAAGTTGTACGAACTCCCACCCCACCGTTTGCCGTCACAAAGAACCACCTTGGCCTCCAACCTTTTACCGAAGATGACAGACCCGCCACCAGACCTCGTCCAGCCACCCTCTGCAGTGTAACCCAAGTGTCCTGCTGGCCGGAGGCCTTGTAGCACGAGAAGAACTCATCTACCGTCAAGGCCAACCCTTCTGTTGCTTGCGGCCAGGAACTCGTGCACGCCATCAATATTTTCTAGGCGTTTGGCATCAACTGACCTGGCGCCGTATCTAGTTTATTCAACACATCAACCACAACTTGAGGCAGCGGTAGCCTCATACCTCTCCGCAATGCCTCCTCGTACAAGCTAAATTTCCCTAGCCGCACATCCGACGCCCTCTCGGTAGATGTCGGCAGCCTCAACCCTATTTCCAAAGGAATCTGGTACTTTCCCCTTATTCCCTCCAACTCCGCCGGTGTAAGAATGGACCTGTCTGCCTTTGTATGCTAGTGATCTAGTTCTGCCTGACTGATTGGCCTTGGAGCTGCTATCATGGTGGAACCATGGGATCGTACCACCAACTCCCCCACCGTCTCCGTCCTGTATTGCTGCGCTAACTCCATTGCATCATCATCACCAAGTGGATCCACCATGACATTCGCAGTTTCTTCTTGGGCCATTTCTATGGTATGTCTGCGAATCGCTTCAGATGCAGGTGCAAGAAAATTGAAAAAGTGTTACAGAGGTGTATCGTGAGCAACAATGGAATTCACACTTGGAATATTTTGATTTTTCGTAAACAAGTGGATGAATCGAATAATGCCAAAAGCCCACAATTTGCCCGTATTCCAAGGATCCCAATTAATTTTTGCCAGTTTGAAAACTTTTCAAATCATCCGCCAAAACTGTCTTTTCAACACCGATAATGACCTATCGTTTCACTTCTGATCTAACGCCTAATCTCTCCCTCCCCTGCGGGATGTTGCCCCGTGTACGACCATGATCCATTGTCTCCTCCCCTTACCCTGTCTTTTCCACTTCAAATCACCACGTGACACGCCGCCTCTAGAGCCCTACGTCCTTCCACCTCATCCTTCGCGATCGACTCTCCTTGTGGTCGACCCTCCCACTCGGTCACCCTTCGCGGTCGACCCTCCTCGTGGTCAACCCTCTCACTCGGTCACCCTTCGCGGTCGGCCCTCCTCGTGGTCGACCCTCCCACTCGGCCAACCTCCGCAATCGGCCCCCCTTCGTGGTCAGCCCTCCTCGTGGTCGACCTTCTCACTCGGCCAACCTTTGCGGTCGGCCCTCCTCGTGGTCAGCCCTTCCACTCGGTCACCCTACACGGTCGGACCACCTCCCGGTCAGTTCACCCTCTTGGTCACCCCTGTCGGTCGACCTCCATCCTACCAATCCCTAACACCCTCATCTTCTTCATTAGTATTCCCTTCGTTGGACTAAAGCTGCACTCGGGAATGGGGGACTACTAACGTGTATAAGCCCATAAAGGCCATGAATCACTATGAACAACCCAATCCCATCACTTAGAGCCCAATACATAACCCAGCTGGTGAGGTCCAGGACAGCTGGAATCCAATATGGCATAAAGAGCCAATGACATTCAAACACATGGCAGGTGAAGGACGAGCCACATCATCAGACAAAGATCTGCAAAGTTATTGCCACTGCACATCACCATTAATGTAGCCCATCACAGCATTTATTACGATAACACCTCTCCGTCGGAACAGGACCCCCTTACCCTGAACAAGGTAAGCTACAACATAGACTTTCGATGAGGAGGTCAAGTCGGAAGGGACAGCAAAATGATTACCAAAGGATATAAGTAAATGTTGAAGACAAGAAGAAGGTTAAGCTTTTCTATCTCTAATCTCTCCCTCTGCACTCTACTTCTCTTCCTAACTTGCTCGTCGGAGGGTTCACTGGGGGACTACCCAGTTCCCCGTAGAACTTGTTTGCAGGTTATCCGGTGGGCTTGATCATTTGAACGTGGGCTTGAGGAGCTTGGACCAGTCCGATCCATTCACTGGAACAAACTGTATCATCAATAGCTATTACATAAACCCATTGAATTGTTAGGCCATCCGCATTAAGTTGAACAAGTTTTGAATTAAATTACAATATGAAAATCACTTTTTTCTATTTTATATAGTTCTCGTTTTAAATATAACATCTATTAGACTTTCTATTCTAACTTTATTTTATTAAAAACATATTTTATTATTCATTCTCTCAATGATTCGTACTCAAAAAAAATGAAGATAGTGAGGTCAAATTTATCAAAAAATAATAAACTATTGAATAGCTAATGAATAATTCCTCAACAAATTTATTGAGTTATTGTAACAAATATAAATAATAGCTAGTTGTAGAATTAATTTGTTGAAACTGATGAAACAATATTTTCATAAGTTACTAGTTATATTTAGCTAAAACATTAATTTGTTGAAACTAACCTGGATGCTCTTATAAGAGAAATTGAGATTGTGATTTTGGGGTACTTAAAACTTTACCATAAAGCCTAAGGGTGAAAGCAACAAAAACGGACAATCCAAATAAGTATTGAGCCTGTTTTTCCTCCAAGGCAATTACTAAGAGCATATTCGGACCTTGTTCTATTGTCATTGCCAACAATTATACTCAAACCTAGTTTACCTTAAAAAAAGAAAGAAAAAAACAAAAGGCATTTCTAATAAAACAATTGTTTAATATATTGACTCCCAAAAAATTACTTATACAATTACAAATAATAATTAATACTAAGGTCTGATTTGACATAATCTATTATAGGTAAGAAGTCAAAAAGTTATCAAAAAAAACCTAGAAATTCATACTTTTTCCTGGTTTGGGTGGAAAATCTGTGTCTAAGTACTCAGAAGACAAAAAGACAATTTTACCCTTACTTTCAGGGTAAGAAATAAAAAAAATAAAAACAAAAGTGCAGGTCAGTGTTGCATTGCATTTTCCATTGTGCAATGGCGTGACACAATGGGAGCCACGAAAACCCATGAGCCAAAAATTGAAATGTACGAAAACTCACTCTTCTTGCTACTATGTCAGGAAGGGTAAAACAGTAATTTTAGTAGTTGTTATAATATTTTATTATATATTTTTTCATAAAAAGTCAAAAAAATTATCCCAAACATACATATTTTTTTCTCTACTTTTTTAACTAAAAATTCAAAAAAAAACATTTATTGTTATATAATATAGTAATTATAATATAGTAACTAAAAATTCAAAAAAAACATTACAATTTGATCATAAGAGGGAACAACTAATTTGTTTTATTTATTTATTTATTTTTGTTTTTAGTAAAAAAATTTAGATTTTTATCAAAAAAATTATCCATCTAGTCTAGAAGGATATAAAAATTAATTTTTTTTAAAAATCACTAAAATAAAAAAAACCCTTAAAAATTGATTTTTTTTTACAGGTTTTTTAGTTGACTTTTTCCAAGGGTTTGATTTATTTTTTATTTTTCCGGTTCCTTAGCAAAATTTAAGTGAATTTTTTTTGGAATTTTTTTGAAAGTATCTGAACTTCTCTTTCAATAAAAATCTAAACTAGTTTCCTCGCTCATGGTAATTACCCCCCAAAAAAAAAACAATTCCTTGCTCATGGAGCCGTTGCAGACTTTTTTTTTATAATTAGAATCATTCATTTTGTAAAATTTATATTACATCATTCATAAAGAAATTAAATTAATTTGATAATTATAATTTTTTTATTTTATCAAGTTCACTACCACCACCACCACTAAAAGTATTTCCAACATTGCATCAAAATTTTCATCAAATTTAAGTAAAAATTTGATGAAAAGTTTGATCTAATACAATGTATGCCAATAATAAATTTAAATTTTTTATCAAATCTTGGTATAAGTCCGGTTATCCAAGAAGATATTTGACCATGTGTAAAAATTGAAATTCTGTTGAAAAAAGCTCGATTGTTTGAGAGGACATCCCAACGGCTACTTGCAAAATTTGATGAAGAATAAAAACTCCCTTGATTTAATGAAAATTTTGATTCTTCCTTCATTTGATATTAATTTGATGAAAGTATTAGAATTGAGTTTTAAGGTGTTTTCATCGAATTTAAATTTGATGAAATATTGGAAACGGCCTAATATAGGTATTAGTATATTAGTTTTGAATGATGCAATCAAATATATATATATATATATATATTTAAATGTAATCAAAATTTTTATCAAATTTAAGTAAAAATTTGATGAAAAGTTTGATTTAATACAATGTATGCCAATAATAAATTTAAATTTTTTTATCAAATCTTGGTACAAGTCCGGTTATCCGAGAAGACATTTGACCATGTGTAAAAATTGAAATTCAGAAGAAAAAAGCTCGATTGTTTGAGAGGACATCCCAACGGTTACTTGCAAAATTTGATGAAGAATAAAAACTCTCTCGATTTAATGAAAATTTTGGTTCTTCCTTCATTTGATATTAATTTGATGAAAGTATTGGAGTTGAGTTTTAAGTTGTTTTTATCGAATTTAATTTGATAAAACATTGAAAATGGCCTAATATAGGTATTAGTATATTAGTTTTGAATGATGCAATCAAATATATATATATATATATTTTAAATGTAATCTCCTTTTAAAAAAAATTACTTGTTTTTTTGGTTAATTCAATAAATAAATAAATAAATAAAATCTGAATAACTCCAAAAGGGTAAAAATGTAACTTCACACAATTAGGGGATTTTGGTGATATAAATGGTGATGTATATGTACACCCTGTGAATCCCCCAACTGGCAGTTTGCCCCCACCACCTCTCTCTCGTTTCCTCACAGCCTCTCTCTCGCTCTCTTTTGTGGCATTCGCTCTCTCTCTCTCTCTCTGTTCTGCGGAGAAAAACAAGCTCCTGGGAAAAGAAAAAGGCTTTCAAGAAACAATTGAAATGGCTATGAAGCTCAATCCCATCACTTTCCAGTCCCAGAAATACCCTTCTTTTGCTCTTCCACCAATGGCCAGTCTCAGATCTCCCAAGTTTTTCATGGCTTCTACGCTCCGCTCCGGCTCCAAGTCAGTTCTCTCTCCTCATTTTTCACCTTTTTTGACCGACCCACATGTCTTTTGGATACTCATTTCAATAATTTGATCTGGGTTCCTGATTTTTGCCTCTGAATTGGCTTTGGGATTGTTGAATTTATGTTGTTCTGTTGCGATCTTTATCTGTGTCCTGTGTATAATGCAAGAACTGAATAATTTTTTATGTTATTTGTTGAAATAATGATACACACAAAAAGTAGATATTCAAATCTGGAAAATATATATATATATATATATCAGGTATTTCGAATTAGCAATTTTGTGTTTTGTTTGTTTATTCAAAATGGGGTTTTTCTTGGATTGGTAATTGTAATTGAATAATTCAATTGATGCATGCAATTGTAGTTTAGCTTAAATGCATTTGATTCTTCTGATGATCTGTGCTCGTCATTCAATTGTTTATTTCTCGAATTCGGCCTATTTTGATCTGAATTTTTTTATTATTGGAACAGGGTAGTTTCTGTTTTTTTCTTTCTCGAGTATTTTGTGTTTTTTGTATTTATGCATGTACGATTTTTGTTTGTCCTTTTCAGTTTGGGGAGATGTGGGCGGTTAGGATTTTTATTATATCATATTCATTTAATCATTTGGAAGATCATCAAAACATTATTTTACATAAGATGCTTGTTTTCATTTGTTGAGACTTAGGTTTGAAACTTTTGGGTTGTTGGTTTTAGCTGTATGTTGACTCATTTATTATTAGTTTTTTTTGTTCCAATTGGCGAATGTGCATGACAAATATTTTATTTTTGAAATGTGTATAATTCAAAATGTGTTCTTGTTTTGATACTTATGCTTTTTGTATTGTAATATTCGTTTTATAGAATAGATGTGCGATTGACCCTCTTTTTTTTTTCTTTTTTTCTTTTTTTCTTTTTTTTTTCCCTTTTATATAGTTTTGTGCACATGTGGAACCATTTTTTTTATCAATGTTTGTTCTTGGGTTAAAATCATGGTTATTAAAATCGCAATCCGAATCGTACAATCCTATATTGCTAAAACGATCCAGATCATTGTAGGATTGATATTATAACATGATCGTGTATGGGATTGTGCAGGATCATGTATGGGATGCAGGATTGCAAGTAGTATTGTAGATTTTGTGATTTTTCACTTTACTTTTAATATGTATCATTGTAATTTGTATTTTTATCTTTTTTTTAATAGAAAGTAAGATCTTATGATCCTCGATCCGATCCTACAATCTGATCCACAAGACTCTCTCACTGATCCTACATAGGATCCCGATTTTAACAACCTTTGTTAAAATGAGCAAAACCAAGCCAAGATTTGTACTTGTGTTTTGTAGTTCTATTGAATTATCATGCTAGTCTAAGATTGTATTTCCCATGTTTCATATCCATTTTGGCATTTGTCATTTGTCTTGTGTTATGTATTATTTTTATTTTTTGGTTTTTCTTTGAACTGCTCCAAGTGGTTTTAAGTTTTTCATTCTCATTGGTTAATTGGTTACTTGCAACATAATAACCAAGTTGGTGAACCTAGTCCTAGTATTTTGATCATCCAACTTGTTCCCCACCTAAAAGAAGAAAAAAAGTTTAATAAGATGGAAAATTTTAAATTCTGTTGTTTTTAGGTGGTACATCTTTGATCTTTGCTGAAACTAGCAGCTGTACTTTATGTTTCTAAGGACTAATGATCCTCCTTTTTGTTTTTATCAATTTTCTTCCTGCCTTTCTTTCTTTATTTTTAGTAGCTGTACTTCTTGGTTTTGGTTGTTATCAAGTCAGCTAGCTAAATCTGGTGTGATCCCCTTTAACCTTGTTGACATACACTTCATTAGCAGATTCTGTGGTGCCCATATATAGTGATACTTTTTCTAAGTTGCTTGCCTGGATGATTTTGTCTTGCTATCCTAGTCATCGTCACTAGTTTTTTCTCTTTATTTTATTTTTAATATTCATCTCATAATCTTTGATTGAAGTTTAACCTATTTTTTGATTGTTAGGAATTTGTAACCATTCACTTTTTTCATCTCAAGATTGTTTTGCAGTTGTAGAATTCTTTAATCATTTTATTTGAATAGAGAATGGGTGAGATTTATGCATTATGCCCAATGGTTGGTGAATCATTAGCAAGTAGTATCTTTTTGGAAGTTTGAATCTTCTATTGTTTTGTTTATTCTCTTGGTGAGATTTTTTTGCTAAGAATATGTCCAATAAAGAATTCCTAAGCATCCAACTTGTTGAGTCATCTTGGTTTCCTTTCAAGTTTCAATCTTATAGGCCATCTAATTTGACTTTTATTTGATGGTGCAAAGGAAGAAGAAAAAGTGGGTGGGTAGGGTTATTTGTACTGTGAGATCATATATCCATTAGATGGTGAGAACAAATGGTTAGTGTTCTAGTCAGATGTGTAGAGGTCCTGTGGGTGTATTCTTGAAGGGGATAAGGGCAACCTACATGAAAGTAACATGCAGTTAGCATGATTATGTTACGACTTTCTTATCTTGTTTCAGCTGCATTACAAAGTTAAACCAGCATATGTAATGACTCCCATATCTTTGCAAGTCATTGTCCTATGAGAAGAATTAGGCACTGATGTTTGCTGGTCTTTCTAACAATGGAACATCAAGTATATATGTTGTACTTGTTATTGTTACATTTTGAATCTTTTTTATGTAAGTATTTCTACCAGTTCTTATATTAAGTATGGGGCAAGAAGGATGATTAATGATATTAACACATATGAATCGAATAAATTAAGGGAACAATGGAAATTAAGGCCAGAGTCTACCATAGAATGGTTGACACTTCAGAAATAATCATCTAAGCACACTTACACTTGGTAGGGTGAATGATTGGGAGAAGAAAAAGGGGAGGGAGGAGGGAGGGGTTTGTTTTCCCGTGTTTGTTACTAATTAAATGAGAGAGAGGAAATTAAATGAGAGAAAGGAAAGGAGGGTGGTTTTCTTTCCTAGCGGACACGTTCTTTTCAAAAATGAGAAGAAAGGACACAGAACAACTCCCCTTTTCGATCATTTTAAAAAAAACTTTCTTCAATATGCAAGGGCATAGTAGTAAAATGATACTTTTGACATGTTTGCTTATGTATATTATGAAAAGGTAATATAATTGCCATATGGTCATAATTTATTTGAGATGATCACGTGTACATAGTGGGCTCCCGTGTCTTTGGATGACGTGGTCGCTTGAAGAAACTGATGGCAAATAATCTTTTTATTTTATAGTATATGTGTGCGTACATATGTATATATAAACTCAAGCATATTTACTTTTTTCTGCAATAAGTACATTTGTGCTTATGTACTTCTTGTCATGAAATCAGTGTCTTGGTCTTGCCCTGAACCCCAACCGAATTCTGCGTATCTAATTATTGTCTTCTGTTTTTTTTAGGGAGGTTGAGAATCTAAAGAAGCCTTTTAGCCCTCCTCGTGAGGTTCATGTTCAAGTAACACACTCCATGCCACCCCAAAAGATAGAGATCTTCAAAAATTTGGAGGATTGGGCTGATCAGAACATTTTGGTTCACCTTAAGCCTGTGGAGAAATGTTGGCAACCACAGGATTTTCTGCCCGATCCTGCTTCTGAGGGATTTGATGAGCAAGTCCGGGAACTAAGGGAAAGGGCAAAGGAGATTCCAGATGATTACTTTGTTGTTTTGGTTGGAGATATGATCACAGAAGAAGCCCTTCCAACTTACCAAACAATGCTAAATACCCTAGATGGTGTTCGGGATGAAACAGGAGCTAGCCCAACTTCTTGGGCAGTATGGACTAGGGCCTGGACTGCTGAAGAAAACAGGCACGGTGATCTTCTCAATAAGTATCTCTACCTATCTGGACGTGTAGACATGAGGCAAATTGAGAAGACAATTCAGTATTTGATTGGGTCAGGAATGGTAAGATGCTTCTTGCAGTGTCTACTGTTTCAGTTCTAAGTTTTTTTGTTTACCATATAAGGTTGCAACTATTCTGAAGTCAAAATATTCATGATGCTTATGTGAAGCAGATTGAGGAAATGATTACATAACTTTACCATTTACTTACATCTGAGGAGCTGATGTATACCTGCCAACCACTTTTTGGTTCTGATTTTCTGATATTGCAGTTCCAAGGAAATGTGAACTAACTTTGTAGTCGTGATTTGGTTTCGTGGGGAAAAATATTCTGAAAAAAGTCTTAAGGATTAAGTATGCACATCTAATCAATTTGTTATTCTTTTTTTTTCTCCTCTCATTTTTGTCATAGATTAGTTGACTTCCTAATGCAAATCAAGAATCAAATTGAGAGAGAAGACAAATGCCCCAATTAGGGGTAAAACCCCCCAAGGACTAAGAGAGAGAAACCAAGCTCTACTCTAATCACAATGTATCTCTCTCAATTTGATCTTTGATTTGCATTTGGATTGCATTACTTCCCATATGATCAGTCATTCCTCATTTTCATTTCTTTTCTGGGGAAGTGCATATGATTACTGTGTAAGTAAATGAAACAGTGATTTTGTTAACATGTGCCTTTAAGCCACATGTTAGGAAATTTAAAAAGATTGTACATTCTGCATGAAACTGAGTGCAACAAATAATGTACAATCTTTGTAAGCCCAAGACCCCATGAGACGAGTCAGTGTTCTCTTGCTGCTGTTCTTTTTGAAGTTTGAATAGGATACTGTGTTGAGACAATACCTTTTCATCAAGGAGTTTATAGTTTTTTTGTTTCTAGGAAATGGATTTTTTGATAGCTTTCTAAGCGTGCTTCTGTGAAAGAAATTTTTTATTTCCCGGGTAATAATAGTAAGACAGGTTGAAGGCTATCAGGATTGTTTGCAATTACCAACTACAAGTGCAACAAGGTGGTGTTATTGAGATTGTTAAATCTAGCGCAACAACCATCAAGTCTAATTTGTGTTTCAAAAAAAAAAAAACCATCTAGTCTAATTTTAATTTCTCAGTACCCTTTTCTATTTTGTTTCAGGATCCACGGACAGAAAACAGTCCCTACCTTGGATTCATTTACACATCATTCCAAGAAAGAGCGACTTTCATCTCGCACGGGAACACAGCCAGACATGCCAAGGAGCACGGAGACATTAAGCTCGCTCAAATCTGTGGTACTATTGCCTCAGATGAGAAGCGCCATGAAACTGCTTACACCAAGATAGTGGAAAAGCTCTTTGAGATTGACCCTGATGGAACTGTTCTAGCTCTTGCTGACATGATGAAGAAGAAAATCTCTATGCCAGCCCACTTGATGTACGATGGCCGTGACGACAACCTATTTGAGCACTTCTCGTCTGTTGCTCAGCGACTTGGTGTCTACACCGCTAAGGACTATGCAGATATATTGGAATTTTTGGTTGGGAGGTGGCAAGTGGAGGAACTAACTGGTCTTTCTGCAGAGGGACGAAAAGCTCAGGACTATGTTTGTGGGTTGCCTCCAAGAATTAGAAAGCTGGAGGAAAGAGCTCAAAGCAGAGTTAAGCAAGTCCGCCCTGTTCCATTTAGCTGGATCTTTGATAGAGAACTGAAGATCTGAGTGCCTGACAGAATAAGAAGTTGTTCAGCTTCACTCTCCTGCAAGTCCCTTCTCACTTTCCCATAAAAAAGCAAATTTGGAGTTTTAGTTCGATTTTGCAATTCCATTTCCCTTTCATTATGAGAAGAGATTTTGTTCAGATGGACTATGGTTAGTAGTTGTAGATAACGGTTCTTTCTCGTGTGCGGTTGGATCTTCATATAAGGATCAACTGTTAGTGCTGTGTTTTGTATGATTATGCTGTTTTTTTTTTTTTCGTTTCTTTTTTTTGGGGGGGAATTAATAGTGTCTTGAGTATAACAAATTGTCCCTGTTTGGCAATTTTGATGATAGACTTTTATAGTAAATTGGCACTTCTCCATAGTGTCTATTTACAGAATTATGTAGCATTCACTATAATGAAATGGAGAAATATGATGCATTCTGAGTTTAATGTTTAAATTGAAACTATTGAAATACAGAGAAACCACTTTTTTATATTATGTTGTTGATGGAGGTAGGCTGGGACTGTAGTTGGACATTATTACATTAGAAAGGGACCCTAGTTTTGTCATGTTTATTAGAAAACTTGATTAGGCCATTGATGCTGTGAATCATGAGATGTAAATTTAGCAAATTCATGATAGCAATGCCTTGTCATTTTGGTAAAAATGATCGATGTTTGCGAAAGGAAATTAATGTTTCTTTATATTATAGTAGAACAGCTGTTCTATACTATCAATGAGTCTATATTGTTTTATTTATTTATCTGCCGGATAGAGAGAACTATTGTTTAAAAGTTTCAGCTGTTCTATTCTTCTCCAATTTTTAAAATTTATGTAATTTTCCTACTCTCTCTGTATTTAATTGTTTCATTAACGACCCTTTTGTCTCTATAACTTTCCTTAGCCAGACATAGCTTAAAACTGGTGTTTCATTAACGACCCTTTTGTCTCTATAACTTTCCTTAGCCAGACATAGCTTAAAACTGGTAAGAAAATGTTTGAAACTTCTAAAAAAACAAAAATGTTTAAGACCCCCTTTCTCTCCACCCCCTTTGATCCCCTCTCTTTTTTTATTGGCTATTTTTTCTTTTGCTTTTTTTTTTTTCTTTCTCCTCCAATCACCACCCGCCACGTATGTGTGAGGGGGTGGTGGGGGTGGTGATTGGAGGGGGTTTCTATCAATGCTCTTTAAAAAATATGTTAATTTTTTATGTGCCATACGTGTATTTATATATGATCAAATTTCTGTCACATTATTGCGGGTGATTTCATGATTTTAAATTGTTAATTTTTAATATTTTTTTATATAGTTTTAAATATTGGTATTGTCAATATAATTTTGATTACATAAGCTGGAGATCAAATAGTGGCCTTGTTTTATTGTGAATTTTCAATATTTTTTTATATAGTTTTAAATATTGCTATTGTCAATATAATTTTGATTACATAAGCTGGAGATCAAATAGTGGCCTTGTTTTTTACTAAATAGGTTGGAAAAAGTCGAATAACTATTAAATAATTTAATTTATAAGTGCTACCAAAACAGCAAAACAGGCCTATTATATTATCCTATTATATATGTAATTGGGCTGTTTATTTTAATTTGGTGAAAGATAGTATTGTATGTAGTTCGGCCAGTCAATTAATTGGTCGGTCAGCCAAGCTTTTGGCTGGCCAGCCAAAGAATTAGTCGACCAATTAATTTGTCTAGACCTTTTCCTATCATACCTAAGGTTCCGAATCAAGTATCCTTAGTTACGACGAACAACAACCTTGGCATAAGCCACGAATTTCCTAATTTTTTTAAAATATTAAATGGCGGCTCTGAGAAGGGCAACTGTAGACACTCCATAGTCTTAGTATGTAGTTTGGTTCGATGTTTCTCACTTTCATGATGAAATAAAAAAATAAAATAATATATGACCCGTAGTAATGACCATTTTTGCATGAAATTATGTCACGACCCAACTCTCGCCCTGAGGGATTAGAGAAGTGATCGGCCAATAATCTGAGATTACTAAAAGTCTGCTTAACAGTAATACAATAATTAGGGTTTGCGAAAGCCAATAAATAATAAAATGTAACGTCCAATGAGTTATGAACACATACATGAACAAAAACGAGCTTTTATATGTTTACATATACACATGAGTCCAAACATTAAATTTATATATGCGTAGTCCACGACAAGCTTAAGTACCAAAACAAAAGCAAAACCAAAACCTAGGGATTTAATCCCAATAACAAAAACCAGTCCTATCAACCGTCATAATCACATATAACACTTGTCTCGGTATCACTCAAGCCATTTATATGCAAAAATAGAAGGGTGAATTCTAAATCACCCAAAAGCCTTGAAACTTGACCATTTGGAACCTCGTAGTGAGGCACGAGAGTTGGCTTGACAAAGCAGAGATTAGATCGACGCCACTAGTTCCAATCTTGAGCTTGGTCACCTACATATATACATAAAACAGTGAGCAGTGAGCTAGAGTGCGACGTCTGACCTACATAAACATATTCAAGCACAACATTTCAAAACACATTCAATTCATTCAGTTGGTTCTTAAACTTATTCGGTCATTCATTACTTGTTCATTCGGTTATTTCAATTTGTTCTTTAATTTCTCTCGTGCTCATGCTATGCATATGGATGTGAAATACATGCGAAACCATGCAAATGGAGACCCGGAAGTCAAAAAGATGGAGAGAAAATGAAACCAAGTCTGCCTTGAAAACTGTAATTGCGGGAGCACTGGCCGCATGTGCGGAACCACCACCGCACATGCGCCCGAACGTGCAATTAAAGCTGTGGCAAAACTAGAATAGGGGAGGTTTGGCCGCACATGCGGGCCCTCAGGCTGCACATGCGGTCTAGGTTAAAATTCAGTCCGAAAATCTATTTAGACTTTGGACTTCAACCTCTTCAAATTAAGGTTCAAATTTATGTACTTGCAACTCAAAATTCTTGAAAACAACTTTGAATATGGATTTCCAACATTAAATACAAATCATAACTTTAAATACAACTCAAAAATCCAATTAAAGATCAAATTCTTTGGGAAAATCATAGAATCATGAAACATAACTTTAAAAGTTTCAACTCAAGCTTATATATAGAAATTCCTTTGAAATCATGAGAGGCCATGCAAGATAACAAGTTTGTGATCATGATTTTCATGAATTATGCCATGTATACTCAAATTTTGAACTAATTCCTACAATTCCTCTCTTTTATGTTCATATAGGTTCTCAACTCTAAACTTATCCTTAAAACTCTTACCATGAATCCATTCAATTTAAGCTTCAATCTTTCAATATGACGAGTGTATAAGCCCTAATTTCATGAAAGTAGCAAGAAATTCTTACCTTAAAGGGTTGATTTATGAAGATTTTGCTTGATTCCTCCTTTTCCCCCTTCTTTCCTTCTTCTTCTAAAGCACTCTAGGGTTTCCTCTCTCTCTCAAGTTTTTTGACTCCAACAATATGCCCTCCTCTCACTTAGCTTCTCTTTTCTTTATTTACATTGATGAGTACAAGTGTATAGAGTCACTAATTTAATATTGTACCTAAATTAGATTTAGACTAGTCATTCATATTAATCAAATTTAAATCACCTGATGTTCTTAATTAAATCATCAAAAATCTACTTTAATTTGAACTAAACTTAATCATCCTAATGTGAATTAGGCTCTAACTCTATCCAAATATTTAATTTTCATGTATATAAATTACTGATTCAGACAGATTCAATTCATATCCTAACCATAACTGGTCACAATATCACAATTCATTTCATACATAGCACATAATAACACTTAAACACATAATCAATGCAAATCATATGATTAACTTAATTAATCAAGAAGATGGTCGTCACAAATTATTTGGTCATTAAAACTTTGTGAATGCCCATAACATGAAATTTGAATGAACAATAGCAATTTAATATGACAAATTGAGACACTTTGGAAATCATTTTGATTACGTAAGCTGGAGATCAAATAGTGGCCTTGTTTTTTACTAAATAGGTTGGAAAAAGTTGAATAAGTGTTAAATAATTTAATTTATAAGTGCTATCAAAGCCAGCCTATTATACTATCCAACTATATTATCCAATGATCATTTTTGCATGAAATTATTTGGACATTAAACTATGTGAATGCCCATAACATGAAATTTGAATGAACATTAGCAATTTATTATGACAAATTGAGACACTTTGGAAATCATTTTCTTTTAAATGTTGTCTTATAATGTCTATGTCTAACTAGCTTACACTTAAATATTCTTGCTAATTTTGTTGATGTATTAGAGGAAATTAAATACTAAAATTTTAAATAGGGATTGCTTATAACATTCACTCATTTTATTACTGTACGGGGAGCAAATATCCGTCGCTGTCTGTACTTCTTTCGTCCAAGCTCCGAGTCTATCCGATCAACCTAAAAACGCAGCGGCGGTGAGCTACCCGATGGTGTGTTGCCGGAAAACCCCTCCGATGGTCTAGTTAGCACACACTCAGAGAGAGGGAGAGAGAGAGAGCTGAATGAATGTTAACTTTTCTCTCACCAAATGATGTTCCATCTCCAGCATGGAGACGCAGTCACACTTATATACTTTATGCGCTCAACTCTGCACCCATTAATCTCTTGACACGTGGTGCAGCTCTCCTATCTGTCAGCACAAATCCAGCAATCACCACCTAACCTAACCGTCAGGCTACATTAGCGGGAACTCGGCAGCCCAGCGAAATCACTTCAGTCTTCCACGACCGTGCTGCGTAACGTGCCCGAGTGCTCCATAACAGCCGAGCTTTGTAGCACTCCGGCAGGACCGAGTTCCAGACAGGTTACACTGGCATTCAGAAGACTTTTCCCACCGAGCTAATCGTGCTCCCACAAAACCCGGTAGCAAACGCTCATCTCGGCTAAGTAGACCTCGGGGATAGGCCTCAGCCGAGCAAGTCCAATTCCGGGGAAGCTCGGTCCAAACATGGGACCTGGACCTCAGACCTAGGCCTGGACCGAGCAAGATCATCTCAAAGGAAGCCCCAGTTAGCTCGGCCTAAACAGGGGCGAGCCTCGACCGAGCAAATCCCACTCTGATCCGGCCCAAGTTAGCTCGGCCCAAACATGCTCGGCCATCTTCTGTCCGGCTCCTTCCACGGCCCAAAGCCAGATTATAAATCTCCCTCTCAATTGCCCCTTAATTCCGTCCACGCAAGCGTGACTGGGATTACATTACAAGGCCGGGCTAGACTTTTTGCTCGGTGGTTCACTTTGCTCGATCTAGAAACCTCAAAGTTGGCAAACAAAGTCAGCTCGTCAACGCGCTTCTTGGCGAGTAAAATCAGCTCAGCAACTTCTTGAGCAAGCAAAATCAACTTGGCAAGGACATTCAAAGTTAGCGAGGAAAGCCAACTCAGCAACTTGATTCTTGGCGAGCAAGATCAGCTCGGCAAAGAACTCCAT